TCCTGATTTTTCCATACCTTGAATTGGCGGGAAATGCGTTTTTCTTATTAATACCATTGCTATTGATACTGTTATAATTGTCATTGATGTTATGATTATTGAATTGCCATTAAAATATTTTACACAATGAATTGATACAAAAGACCCTTTCCTTAAGTGAAGGAAAGGGGTAAACAGGTGAGACAGGTAGTTCTGATAACTGGCTATTTGGTGATTAAGAACTTGTAGAGCCATCTATGTGTAAATACAATAAATGAACGTGTATTACAGTGGGCATGGCATGTATTCTTGCCACATAGGGCGAATAGGTTAATACAGTTGACATCGATATTGGTATTAGTGTTATTGATGTTATGATTATTAAATTAATATTAAAAGCTCAATAACATTTAAGACAATGAAATAACACAAAAAACCCTTTCCAAACGTCGAGGAAAAGGGTAAACAGGTGAGATACGTAGGATTAATAGCTGGCTCCTTGGTGACTACACACTTGTAGAGCCATCTATGTGTAATTACAAAAACTAAACTTGTTTTACATTGGACATGGCATGTATTCTTGCTATATGGGGCGATTGGGTTAAAGAACAAAGATTTAAAGGGCTGGCTCTTATTTGATGATAGTCTATCAGGGAGGCCTGATAGGTATATTTTGCCAAAACATATGAGAGGAAATTTGGCAAGGATCTGATTATTCCTATTCAGTTGCACACACATGGATTCATGTAGTGTGTGTCATTTTGTTTTTTTTATATTGTTTGTTTTCCTGCATTTCTGCCAGCTCCTGTCTTGGACAACTACCTTTCAACTGATTATCTTATTGGTTATTCCCAAACAATTTACAATATAAAAAAAATAACAAATATCAGTAAAACAGTAATGACCCCTAAACAGAATCTCTTATCATTTAACTGATGGTATGACTGGTATCATCAATTAATGTTCCTAAGGAAGTGCATGTTATCAAGTATTTTTATAGCAAGTTGTGTATACCATTTACCAGAATATGACTATCTGAACTAAGGATGCTGTTAGAAATAATACATAAAACAACTTTATTATAAAAAATATAATCTGAGTATACACCATGTGTATGTATTTTCAAGTTTTGTGACAATCATCAAATAATGAAACAAAGCTTTATCTTTTTGATTATCTGTCAGAAGGTCTGTTGGCCTTTGCCTGAGCATAGACCACAGATGTGCAACTGCTCAGTTCTGGAAACTTATGTTAATTCCTTACAGCGAGACACTCTTGCCAGAGACCAAGTCCCCAAATCCTTGCTACAAAATTTCATCAACAATTTATGTTGCCGTGACTCAGAGTGCTCTCCGGGTACTGCCTGAGGGGGAAGGTTGATGGGGTTCGATCCCCCCACCACTCCCTGAGAAACACTGTCTTGCCTTTGGTGTGCACAGCAAGAGAGAGCTGGAACTTGAGAGCACTGAGTGGACTTAGGCTGTGAGTGGCACTTTCTGGGATCTTTTATCATTCATGTCTGTGATTTTTTTTATTCCGATAACTGCAACTTTTTGTCCTCTACTAGAATATCATCTTCAAACTGCCCTAGCTTGGTGTGTCCATACCATAAAGATTAACCATATTTACCATTGGCCATCTCTCTAAATATTCTTGCCCTGTACATTTAATAAGCCAAGAACTTTACCATGCACACCGCAATCCACCAGATACCTGCTGTGCTTGGCAAAAACTTTGGAGTTCTTTATAACAGCTCTTTTATACATTACCGCACTAAATATTATGCAAATTCCAACCGTGGGGGGGAAAACACAAATCAAAATCTTGAGCGGTAAACAACAAAACACTCGAAATTTCAAAACTAAGCGGTGCAATTCCCCAGCCTAGCCCGAATATTCTGAAAAGAAGCCGTTGGCGTTGGCTGGAGCGCTACCTTTGGGAACGATGGCCTGGCATGGGGTCAAGGCCTACTCAGGAGGGATTCCCTTTTCATAGTTCGTTTAATAATAAAAAAAAAGATAATAATAAAATGGCCAGAGGAATAGTCTAGATATACACAAGATTAAATGTAAAATAATACCGATAGTGCGCTTCCATGAAAAAAAAATATATAGAATGACAGCAGTGACGAAAACAACAATTCCAAAAAATAAACAAAAAACATCAATACAAAAAACAACGCAATAATGACAATAACACAAACTCCTTTAAAAATACAATTAAAACAACAATTATATCACAGGACACGGAAATAATAATAATAATAACTTAAACAAAAAAAAAATAAATAAAAACTTAAAAAAAAAAAAAAAAACGCTTAAATAACATCCCTCAAAATTCCGCTCCGAGTGCAGACGAAATCCAATATTTCCCTTAAAAAAAACTTAAAAACTGGTTCTTTTTGGAGTGCCACTCGATGGGCGAGTTCTCCGACGAAGGGAGATAATTACCCGAGGCGGAAGGAACTCCTCGAGAAGAAAAAAAACGAGAAAAAAGCCTAAAAAAGACGGAAGGAGGAGCTCGTGTGAGTATCTCGAGGCCGATGTCCCGAACTCGTTCTTGTAAGCCCGAGTTTTTTTAAGGGACAGGTTTAAGTGCGTTTTTTAAGGCTTTAGTGGCAGAGGATATAAAAGACGAGGACTAAAAATAATCCAGAATATATGGGAGATTATTTTACAAGGGTTAGCATATCCAGACGAAGTTCAGTAAGGATACAAGAAAGATTTTTAAAAATTAGTCCAGCGTCTGCATCCGGATTCAAAGCCATCCCGCGGAGATAGGAGCCCGCAAGTCCCTAAGCGCGTTTTTTAAGGCTTTAGTGGCAGAGGATATAAAATACGAGGAGCCAAAATAATCCAAAATATATGGGAGATTATTTCGCAAGGGTTAGAATATCCAGACGAAGTTCAGTAAGGATACAAGAAGGATTTTTTTTTATATTAATCCAGCGTCTGCATCCGGATTCAAAGCCATCCAGCGGAGATAGGAGCCCGCAGATCCCCCGTTCCCAAAGTGATTTTACCCTATTCTACCTTTAAAAAACCACAAACCCCACCCCAAACCCCCCAAAATAACAAAAATCAAGCCATAAAATATCTAAAAATACAAAAACCGACAGGAAACGACCCTTAAAACCCTCCCAAATAGGCCAAAGAGGGGGCAACGAGATACAAAAATGGCGTCGCACGTGGTGATGGCGAATAAAGATTTTCCTTTTCTTTGCCCTAAGACCTCGGCTCGTGCTTGGCGGGCCGGGCTCCTCACCTCCTGCGGCTCCTCTTAGGGATCCTGCGCACTGGCCAAGGTGGAATAGGACCGAGGTTTTGTGAAAAGCGCTTGGTTGGAAATATGGGATTTTTCAAAATATTATTTACCTTTCATGAGTGAGAGATTTATTTTCCTGCCCAGAGGAGGGAGGGGAAAGTACGGCGTCCTTTCTCTCTCCCGTTTTATGCCTTCCTTCTCCTCGGGATGGCACGGAGGCTGATTCTTTCATTTCAGTTTTATTTATTTTAATTTTTTTTTATTATTATTTGTTATTATTATCATTTTTTTTTTTAAAAACCCTCCCAAATAGGCCAAAGAGGGGGCAACGAGATACAAAAATGGCGTCGCACGTGGTGATGGCGAATAAAGATTTTCCTTTTCTTTGCCCTAAGACCTCGGCTCGTGCTTGGCGGGCCGGGCTCCTCACCTCCTGCGGCTCCTCTTAGGGATCCTGCGCACTGGCCAAGGTGGAATAGGACCGAGGTTTTGTGAAAAGCGCTTGGTTGGAAATATGGGATTTTTCAAAATATTATTTACCTTTCATGAGTGAGAGATTTATTTTCCTGCCCAGAGGAGGGAGGGGAAAGTACGGCGTCCTTTCTCTCTCCCGTTTTATGCCTTCCTTCTCCTCGGGATGGCACGGAGGCTGATTCTTTCATTTCAGTTTTATTTATTTTAATTTTTTTTTATTATTATTTGTTATTATTATCATTTTTTTTTTTACATGTTTTTTTGAGGCAATATAAACATTGGGGATTTTTGGGCCATCCTCTCGACCTCCAATTCCGCTATTATCGGTCGTTTCTCTTGTTCCTCGTTCGTTGATCGTTCCTTATTAGCTCTCCCTTTCTGGTCTTCCTCTTGGCCTTCCCCAGTTACTCATATTACTTATTTATTGGCCATTTTCTCTCCTTACTCTCTCTTTACTCTTCCACTTCACTTTGTTCTCTCTCTCTTTCTTTCTCTCCTCCCTCTCTCTCTCTCTTCCTCTCTTCCTCTTTCTCTCTCTCATGGCTTTCCCTCATGAATTATCCGATCTGCGAAGAATCGTAAACAAATGAGCTCCGACCCCAAGCGAGAGGTCGGGGAGAATGTTGGACCTCCGCCCCGCGTGCTCCGGCAAAGGCAAACGGACGCCCTCTCCGTAACGCCGGCCAAAGATTAAACTCGGAACGGTGATAAATCTCGGGTGGGAAGGGTAGAGTGTAGGGGAGGGGGGGAAGGGTAGTTCGTTGCGACTCGTTAAAGGTCTGCGGACGTTAGCCCTCGGAGGACCTGCACTCGGGCGAGAACGCGGGGTGAAGGCTAGGAGGAGGCCGTGATGTTTCCAGGTGTAGGTTATTTATCGTAGCTTTTAGTAACGATCGCCGAGTTAATTTAGATTATTTAACGTAGCTTTGGTTAATGATCGCTGAGTTAATTTTGCCCTATTTATATGCGTTCCTAATTTCTTTAGAAATTGCCGACAAATCTTGATTATATTTTTTTTAAATGTTAATAATTGATTTGTGTTATTTCATAATTTTTTTTGTCTGTTTTGGAGTTTTGGGAGAAAGGAAAAGAGAGAGGAGCAGCCTACGACATTTTCATTAGTCTATATGAATTTACGATTACATGAAGATAGTATATATCACTTTTACGCATATGAATATTTTTTATGATAGCCAATTCAGTGAACATTTTTATGCATCATAATGAAAAATCATGCAACGAATTAAGGTTTATATCTATATATTTTTTTAAATTTAGAAAAAGGACAAAGGAAACGAGACCATCCAATATTCGAAAATCGAGTGTGAGTTTCGCAAGAGCTTTTCCTGACGTACTGAAGATCCTTAAGGTGGCTGGAAAAGATTCTCAAATGCCTGAAAGACGGACAGGAAAGGGAACTGCCCATAACTCGAGGACGGAGAAAACAAGTCTCGAAGACCAAGATATTGTTGAAAGCCCAAGAGCTGGATAAAGATAATATTTAAATATATTTTTATAAAAGTGGATGAGAAAGTTTGTTGTACAATTCTTTTATGTGTGTGTGTCATAAATATACTATAAAAGTGAGAAATAATGGTTATAAATAATTGGAAACCTCTGAAGATGTGATATCTCTTGTCTTCGTTATCAGTGAAAACTCGGGTGATTCAAAAAAATTAGCAAAAAATCTGAAAGGTGGACCTGTGCCATCGGCCGCTATCCAGTTGTAGATTATGGTAAACAGTTGGATTGTTCTATTTAGTTTTGCCATTGGGTAGAAAAGGTCTATCTGTATTATCGGCATATCAGTTTATCTAGTCTTTATAAATCTTATGAATTAAAGGCAGTAGCATTCTAGATGGGATATTTACCTTGTAATTTTATTTGCTGTGTTATATCTTAATCAGTTTACTCTTGCTGTCACACACACAAACACCAAAAACAAAAAAAAACAAAAAAACATACAGTATGCAGTGGCATAGTGTCAAGCAATTGCCGAGACATTTAGGCCTTTGGCACTCTGGGAAAAACTAACAAATCTCTTACTTGGAAATTCAGGGAAGATAGAATTTGTACTGATTCGCCCATTTGATATTGAACATGCTAGGGAAACTGACAGGCTCTGGCTCTGTTAGAATATTCATAGAGGAGGGTTGATTGCCTTTGCCAGAGTGCCACACGTTGCCCAGCTAACACCGAGCATAGTGTAGCCTACATGTAAGGTGAGGCTATCTTATATAGCACCTGTTTCATATGATTCTCCCCTTCATTTATTACAATATTCATCATTAGTTTTATTCTCATGTATTAATATCAACATATCTATTTATTTTATATATTAAATTTTCTCTAGTTGCATAATTGCCGTGGATTTTGACATGAATAGATACCACTAACCTAAGTTTTAGGTATACATTATTTTCATTTCAGTAAAGTGAATTTAATTATTGATTTATAAATTTATTCAGCATTTAAATGTGCAGTAATCTTAATCAAACAGAAATGTGAAACTTTTTATTAGACTAATAAATTTAAAATCATGTTATTTTTAACAGCATTATCATAATCATAGTCTAAAAGGAAATAAGTATACAAAATTCTTATCAAATTATTCAAATGCTGAAGACTGAAATGATAATATAAGTATTGGAGAGTATATTTGTATATACTAGAAAATGATTGATTAGCTCCCATGTTTTAATTATCCAAATTTGATTAAGAAAGATGAGGTTGATGTAAATCAGAGTAGCGCGTACACATGCATACACACACACAAACACACACACATTGTAGATGTTATGAATATTAATTTTCCAAATTGGTATATCACAAATGCAAATTCATGATATATGAATTTGGGAAATTAATATTTATTCATGATAGTGGACTTTTGATAATATCAGTGTGGATATAAACAGACATTTACTTTATTATCATTATTACAATCATCATCATCGTTATTATTTTTATTATTATTATTAATATTATTATTATTATTATTATTATTATTATTATTATTATTATTATTATTATTTGCATTATTATTATTATTATTTGCATTATTTGCATTATTTGCATTATATTCTTTGCTTTTATTGTTATTGTTTTTTTATGGTCATTATCATTGTTGTTGTCATTTATATTATTGTTATTATGATTATGATTATTATTATTTGTTTTTATTATTATTGTTATTTTTGTAATTGTCATTATTATTTGTATTTGTATTGTTATTTTTATCATTATTGTTACTGTTATATTTATTATTTTGATAATGATAAAACTTTTCATGATAATGATTGATATCTTAATGGTCACAGAAATAGATATTTACTATTTATTAGTGCTCATAACTTTGCAGTAGTCTAAGTGAAATATAACATTTGCATGTCAGTTGAATGGTAAGATCTGTAATAATAAAAAAATTGATTGCTTAGAAAATATTTTGAAGTTTTATACATTTTCTTGTTTGTTTGTTTGATCATCATTTCACATGTATGTGAATATGCATATATGTTAACATATATATTTTTTGCTGTAGATGCTGATCTATCAACATGTTTTTAAATTTAGTTTGGATATTATTAAAATGAAAATAATTTTCTAAGGAGATATTAAGGAGAACACATAAAATAGAGAAGTGCTAACTTTCAGTATGTTTCAAAGTAGATTAGAAATAATAGACAAGAGCAGACAAATGTGATATGTGAGTGTGTTAAGATTATAGCTGCCACAAGATTGATAGATTAGGTTTAATGACAGGGCTGATTAAATATGAAGAATATCGCAGGATAATGAAATATATTTGTAAATTTATAGTTTTTTTATTTATTTATTTATCTTATTTATTTATTTATTTTTTTCTGTATTCACTTTTTAAAAATGTGAATAGGGTACATATTTAAGAAGTAGATATTTGAAAAAAATATATATATATACCTATTTGTAAAAGAAGAGGGAGCTCTGTCTTAGAGATGTCTCTGTCTAACAATACGAGAAAAACTAGAAGAATCATTAATCTCAAAGGTATTGTTTTCTTTCACTGAAGAAAGGGCAGAAAGAATACGATTGAAATGGTTTATTTATTTTTTATTTATTTATTATTTATTATTACATTAAGAGTATACATTATTTCTGAAATAGAAAGTGTTTTTATAAATACTTATAAGAGTTCATACTGCCATTGTCTTTGAGCCTAGTTTTCTATAGCAGTTATAACTCTTCCTCTTCCTCACATTCTAATTTTCATTATTTATTTCTCCTTTATCTTCTTTCCCTTGTTTTATATATATTTCAGTTATGTTGAGCTCTTATTTTCCTTCTGTTGAAATCCACCTAATCAAATTAGCTGCACTGGAAGCCCTTCCTATCAGTCACCACTTTCCCCTTCCACCGGATTTATTTCTCCTTTCCTTTAGTTCCCTTTTTTCCCTCCAATCAACACTCCCTTTCCCCCTCTTGATAATTCTCTTTTTTTCCTTATCAGTTCCATGAGCCCCTCCATCAATGCCCTTTTTTTTCTTTCCTTATTAATTTTCTTTTCCCCTCCCTCTCTTTTGATTTCCCTTTTTTCCTTTTTATTGCTTCTAATCAGTCCTCCCCATATTTTCTTCAGTAATTTTCCTTTTAGTGCCTCCAGTCATATTACTCTGTTCTCTCTAATCAGTTCTCCTCTTATTCCCTTTAATCAGTTTCCTTTTACTTTGCAATCTTCCCTTTAACCACTCTCTTTACTCCCTTTGGTGTTTACTATTGAATTTCCTCTAATCAATGAGTTTTGATTCACCCTAATCGTTTTCCTCTCTTCTCCTACCCCAGATATTCCCTCTGACCATTTCCCTGTCTCTGTTGCAGGTCTTGAGCATGGAGGATGCAGAGTTTTCGAAGCCCCTGCACATCCAGCGTCTAGAACAGGCACTCAAGCTCGACCCATTTCTCAACTATGTGGAACAGGTCATCAACCAGCCCGTCAGGTGAGGCTCAGCTGCTAGTGGTAATGGTGGAGTGGGGGGGTCTAGTGTTAGGTGGAGTTGGAAGGATTTGTAGTTGGTATATGGCCTTCTCTCAAAGAATTTCCATTTGGTGTATAATCTGTATTTAGGTGTTTTTTTTGGAAGGAAGTGCATATGGTATATGGGCTTGTTCAGTCATTATCATCTCACCCATTTAGTTATATTGGAGAACCTATTTTTATATGTCTTAAAATCCTGATTGATTTACAGTGACGACACAGCATCAGAATCAGACGTAGAAGGAAGTATATCCTTGAAGAATGGTATATCGCGAACAAAAGATGGTAAGTTTGTGAATGTATTGTATTTATTATAATTTTGTATGTTGGAAAGGTTTAGTTAAGGAGTTAAAGTTAGAGATTAATGGCAAGGGACTGTGCAGGTTTTCGTTTTTTTTTTTTTCCTTTTATTTATGATGTGAATTGTGTCAATAAAATAAGTTGTCTTCTGGAAAACTTAATGTATGAGAGGGTTTTTCTATATTTGTTGATTTAATTTTCTAAATCATATTCAATTGGAGATAATTTCCTTTAATAAACTTGATCATCAAGGCTTCATCACAAGACTTGTTTCCTTTCTCCGCACAGAAAGAGAAAATGACAAATCACACCTATACAACTTTTTGGGCGTTCGTCGCAAGAGACAATGGCTGAAGGATGTACTGGTGTCGTCGTCCTCGTCCTCCTCTGAGACCGAGAATGACACAGAAAATGAGGATGGGCCAGAGCTCACGCCTGCTGACCTGGAGAACATGCTCAGGGAACACCGCCTCCGCAAGCATCACCAGTCACACTTTTACCAGAATGAAGAGGTATGGGGTCCTTTGGCTTATAATAAAGAATTCACATGAAATATATGGTACTGGGATGTATTACTGAAGGTTACACAATGATTAATCTTTTTATTCTGAAATACTTCATTTTCTTAAATTCCATATATGTTCTGTTATTGTCTCACTAGGCTTTTGTTTATCTTTGATTGTGATTCCTTTTTTCACCCTCTTACTCAGTTGATTAAATCCTTTCTCTTTCCACAGAATCGAGGCTACCTATACTATAGTGCTGGCTTGCTCTCGCGTGTTGACAAATACCCAGAGCACCAGCGATTTATGGCTGGGTCAAGGAGAAAAAAGAACAAAGAGAAAAAGGAGAAAGAAAAGCTGAAAAAGAAATTAAAGAAAGAAGAGGAGGAGGATGAACTTTATGCGGATGTAAGAGTTTTGTTAGATATATTTCTTTTTCTTTTTCTTAGGTATGCGTTAACAAAAATGGGCAAGAAGTCAGTGGGGAAAAAAGCAGAAGCAGATAGAGTAAGAAAAAGAAAATCAACTTGTTATCTATATTTAATCTACTTCATTTGATATACGTAAGAAATATAGATAACTTTTTTGCATCATAAGCAAATTTTATGTAAATCATATTGAAATCTACCTTTTAAAATTGTAATTGAGACAAACCTACTCATAGTTCTAAAAGCCAAGTTTCAATTCTTACAGAAAAGGCTTGCTAGTGCACCTGATTTTTCTAATACGGATTACTTTGACAAAATCCAAATTTTAACATAATATAACCTAACAAGTCCACTTTTTATTATGGTCGAAAGGGACATTTACTAGTTTATCATACCATAACTTATTGAGCCTGCATCATCACTCAAATCAGAAATACATTCGTAAATTTACGAATGTTGATATAAATGAGCCAATGAAATCAAGCTTAGGTTGTCCTCTTATCTGTACAATGTTAAGAATACCAGACAGATGATGATTTGGAATACCTCTTTCCCTCTGCTAATGTAGTGAGAATATTGGTACCTTTTATAATTATTTATGTTGCATGAACAGACATGAATAAGGAAAATGGTGATTGAATCGGTGTATAAATAAAATACACAAAAAAATAAAGAAACGGTAAATGTATTCCCCCCTTAAAACTGTTGAAATAATAACAGCAAATTGATAGGCATGTAAAGTGATAATTAGAATTTAAAGAAGAAAGCTAAGGAAAAAGAAAAGACTTCCATTTCTTTGTTTAATATAAGGACAGCATTAATGGTGAAATAATTGTGATGATGCAAATAATGAAAGAGAAAGTCTAGTATCACCCATGGCATAAGAAAGGGTGAGGAGAACAGAAAAATGAATTACACTTTTTAATTCTCAGTTCTCTTAGTCTGTTATCAGAGTAATGATAATAGATTCAGAAATGAACGTGAAAAAGAGAGGGAAAGAAGAGTGAAAGTGTTCTTCATTCTGTCTTTTAACCGTGATGATAGTAATGTAAATTATAAACAGCCCATTGATAATAAAAAAGAAAAGAAAAAAACACTATATCAATTATAATAACAGCAGAAAAAAAACATAAACAAATAAGCGAATTCTTATAAAAGGAAGAAAAAAGTGAAAACACACTGTAACGCCGGTCCGTTTTGTCTGTTCTCTCGATCTCTCATCAGAGCCCTCTTGCACAGAATGAGGACAGCTTGCACAGCTTCCCCGATGACGCGTCTGATGACCTCTCCATACCTGTCAAGGGACGAGGGAGGGCCAGCAAGAAGGATAAGAAGCCCAAGAAACTGGATGCGCAGGTGGGAAGAATTTTGTTACAGTCGATAGTCCGTTTTTTGCTGGTCATTGTTGTTAGTCAGAGTAAAGGTGGTGTTTCAGTTTTTTTTATTAAACAAGAAATAGGTGATATTGTTTTGTGTATTTTAATAGAAAAGGAAAAAAAAACATAAAAAACATAAGTAAATAAGTATATAGATAAAGAAAATAAATATTTATCATTGACAATCATGATTATAATTTAGTAGTGAATAGGTGTATGTTGTCAAAACTTTTGCTTATTTCATGTAATGATAATGTAATTACTTCACAGCTTGCTTACCCCCTGATCATAGGAGGAGATTGTGACTGTGCAGCATGTACTTATTTTGTTATTTCTTATGCTATAAATCATTGTGTTGCAGTTTTGTACACCACAGTCCTTTTCTCTCTAAAATCTTCCCTTTCACTTCATTTTGCCTTTGGTTGAATTGGTGGGTAAAACTTTTTTTTTACTATTGCTATGAATACCAATGGTGTTATTTTTATTATAGACATTGTAATCTCTATTATATTATGAACATTAGTAACAGCAAAATAGGATAATGTAAAATATTTTTGTAAATCAAGGAAGAGGGTAAATGGGCAAGACAGGCAGTACTCATATTTGGCTCATTGGTGACTTAGTACAGGTGTAGCCATCTATGTGTAAAAACAATTAGTAAATTAAACTCACAGTGTATGTGCATGCCATGCCTGGTGGCATGGCATGCACATCATCATTTCATATATACATATCATTATCATCCTACTCTTCATAAACCTTTTTAGACTTACTTTTATTATATTTTCTACCCAGGCCCTGACCATGCGCAGACACAAGTTATGGGTGCTGATGGCCAAAAAGGAGGTGGGCCGATGCCAGAAATCCAAGGCCTCTTTCCGCAAGGAGGTACTCCAGAACTGCAAGCGCATGGCCACAGGGTGTATGCGTGTGTGTAGACAGAAGGCCTTACAGGTGAGGGGATTATACATTATTTATTTATTTTCTATTTATTTTTCACCCACAATAAATCAAGTTGCATTGGGTTCTGCTCATTCCTAGATTTGGTGAGCTTTCTTGTATAGTTTATCATTGTCATTATCTTTTTTCAATAGTTATTTTATCAGACCATTACATTCCCTAGTTTTATCACAATATCTACCCTTCTAATTTTCTTCTTTCATTTCTTAGAGCCAGAAAACAGTTAAAGACAAAGTGTGGATGCTGAAGCGACTCACAAGAACTATGCAAGGAGAATGGAAGAAGTTTGACCGCATCTTGAAGGAGCAGAACAGAAGAGCTGAGAGGGAGGCAGAGGAACAGCGCAAAATGGACAAGGAAATCCTGGAGGTGAGAAATTTGCATCATTAATGTTGCTTGTTGTTATGCAATTGATAGTTTTTATTGTGGAAAGATTAATGATTTTCATATGATTGCAGTTTATAGTTGAAGAATAGTTTTATTATCTCACTCCTTCTCATGACAGGTAAAGAGACAACAACGCAAGGTCAACTTCCTCATCACACTGCCAGAGCTCTATGCTCACTTCATGAAGAACAAGATGGGCTCAGCTTCCATGGACGATGAGGACACGAGCAACATCCTCAAGCAGCTGGAGGACGATGGGCCCATCCCTTCTTCTTCCTCTATAGATGATTATGATTGGTGAGTTTTGTGTGTGTGTGTGTTTTTCTGCCTTTGCTGGGTTTGATAGACTAATTATCATTCTGTTTGCTTGTTTATTCCAGTTTAGTAGAATTTGTGATTTTCAAATTGTATTTTTGTTAGCACTGTGAATTATTTGGCATCAAAACTGGTTAGTTCATTTCACCTCATGTGTATATAATGTTTTTAGTATAGCATTATGCTTTACAGTCTGATTATTTTTATCAGCCTTGTTGTTACCATCCAGTTTTACAAAATATTGAATTCAACAGTGAGGCCATGAAGGCTCAAGCACTGAAGACGGCACAGGAGGCCTATTCCACCCAGCAGGCACGACTCAGTATGTTCTCAAGCATGGATGGTGAGAGCCTGCCCAACGTTGGGGGATCGAAGGAGGCCAAGGAGCATCCACAGCCCACTATCTTCAAGGGCATTCTCAAGAGTTACCAGATGAAGGGCATGAACTGGCTGGCTAATCTCTATTACTTTGTGAGTAGTGATCCTCTCTTTCTCTGTCTTTCTTTTCCCCTTCCTTTTTTGCTTTTCCATTTTCCCATTTCCCATTCCTCATTTCATCCACTTGGCATTTTGCGGTCTCTTTTTCTCTTTCACTCTTTCTCTGCATGGGATTTTGTTTCTAAAACTGAAATAGCAGTCTGTCAACATTTTAAGTGTATTTTAAGATGGATATATGCCATGGAGTTCTGATTTCTGTTTTTTTCATTTTTCAGGGCATTAATGGTATCCTTGCAGACGAGATGGGTCTGGGCAAGACAGTACAATCAATTGCCTTCCTTGCACACATTTGTGAACAGTATGGTATGTTCAGCAGTGATTTTTTTTTTTTTTTCAGCAATTAATTCATTGACTGCATAAGAGAGGATCATATATAGTAACAAGTTTGTTCTGGTAGTTTCTTTAAGTGTTAGTCCTAACTATCTCACCCAGTATTGTTAATAATAGAAGATTAATCATTATGAAGATATTGAGGATAACAGTATCAGTATTAATAACATAAAAAAAACAACATTTTTACTAAAGATTCAAAGTATGGGAAAATTTAATGAGGTCACCTAGGGTCTACTAATTAATTGACTCCTAATTAATTGGTTGAGTACTTGTGGAGCAAAATAAAACTGCAGTGGACAGTACTTGTACCTGGCACCACTGGGTTGAAATGTGTACTTCAGTAATGTGTGCTGGAGTCTGTGCTGTCACTTTAAGTTTAATTGTAATATTACTCATCTATTTATTTATTTATTTATTTTTTATATAGTTTTGCCATCCAGAGAGTATTTTTCAGTGCTACAGAATGAGTAATGATTGTTAATTTATATCTTATTTATATCTTATTTATTTATATTCATATGTATGTTCTTTGCCTTCACAGATACATGGGGCCCCTTCCTGATTATCACCCCTGCTTCAACCCTTCACAATTGGACAGGAGAAATAGCCAGATTTGTGCCAGATTTCCAAGTATGAAACAGGCGTTAAATGTTGTGACTGTGGATTTTTTTTTTCTTCTAATTATTGTTTGTTTGAGTTTATATTTGTTTACTGATCATTGTTATATTTTTGTTTGAATTTTTTTATGTTTAAATTTTTGGGTTATAGGTTTTGGTTCCCTGTTTTTTACTTCTTTTCAAAATTTTGACATAGCTATGGTGTACAACATATACAGTTAACGTAATCTTGTGAATGTGATTTGCATACTCCCGTCTGCTCCATCCATATCACCATTAATTTTTCCACTCCACAATAGCTAGCTAACTCTTCTCCTCCGCAGGTGGTGCCATACTGGGGCAACCCTGAGGAGCGCAAGAACCTCCGCAAGTTCTTTGACGGGAAGAACCTTGGTACAAGGGAGGCTAGCTTCCACGTGGTTGTCACAAGCTACCAGATCGTCATCCAGGACTTCAGGTTCCTCAACCGCCTCAAGTGGAATTACATGGTCCTTGATGAGGCTCAGGCCATCAAGAGCATCAACAGGTGTGTTCTTGGTTTGGGCTTTGTAATATGTATGATGCACGCCTTTGTACAGAGAATAGGATGTGTTTCATTATAATATAGATCCAGTGTGTTGTAAAGAACTTTTTAGAGTTTGTATTTAAGGTTCATAATAATGTAATTGGAGAAGTATGGCTTTATTTTGATCTTGTACAGTTGAAAGTGCTGTCTTGATTATCATTCTATTTGCATAACTAAAGCAAGTTTGACATAATCCATTAGCTATAGAAAAGTCTTTAAGGGGTTGTCTTTTAACCCATTCGCCACGGTTGGCAAGAATAGATGCCATACCCACTTTGATACACGTTTATTTATTGTATTTACACCTAGATGGCTCTACAAGTTCTTAATCACCAAATAGCCAGTTATCAAGAACTACCTATTTCACCTGTTTAGCCTTTTCCTTCACTTTCGGAAAGGGTTTTTTGTATCATCATATTGTCAAAAATATTCTAATGACAATTCAATCATCATAATATCAGTAACAATAATAACAGCATCGAAAGCAATGATATTAATTTTCCCGCCAATTCAATGAATGGGAAAATCAGGGTCGGTAACTAGGGCCTACTGATAGACTCCTTGCCAGCTGAGTACATGTGGAGCCATCTGTAGGTAGCAAAATTCACCAAAAGCAACAGGGGACAGAACATAAATCCGTGGCGAATGGGTTAAACTAGATTTATTTGATCAAAGATTTTGATTTTTCTTCAGTTTATAAAAAATAATAATTTAGTCTGAGCTTTGAAGATTTATATTCCTCCCATGCTCAGCTCCATATTAATTTTTGTATTTCTTGCCGTGCTCAACATACAGCCAGAGATGGAAGCTCCTTCTGGGCTTCAGCTGCCGCAACCGACTGCTACTCTCAGGAACTCCCATCCAAAACAGCATGGCAGAGCTGTGGGCTCTCCTTCACTTCATCATGCCTTCCCTGTTCGACTCTCACCTGTGGTTCAACGAGTGGTTCAGCAAGGACATTGAAGGCCACGTGGAGAACAAAACACACGTGGACGAGAGTGAGTTTGGGATTTTTTTGGGGTTTGGGATGGAGGATCAAAGTGAGTCTTAATGGGAAATGTTGGAAAACTACGGTGAAAAAAATTTGATGCTTTGGTACATGGGAATGAGATTTATGGTTATGAACATTATCCAAGAATATTTTTACTTGTGTGGGATGAAATAGTTGTAGAAAAGCAGATACTGGATATTTTGGGTTTGTGGGTTTTGAAATGCTACTATGTAAGTGAATATAACAAATAGTCATGATCAATGTAATAAGAATTTATGTTTAATCCCCCTGGGCAAATGTGAATAGTATTTTTTTTGTTCAGAAACCGTGTCACTAGATTTTGCTGTCCTATAGAGAATATATAGAATATATTGAGGTAAGTTATATTTAATGGAACATTTCAACTTGGCCTCTTTGCAGAGCACTTGAATCGACTCCACATGATTCTCAAGCCATTCATGTTGAGAAGAGTGAAAACAGAGGTCGAGAATGAGCTTTCGGACAAGATTGAGGTAAAGCAGATTGTCATATGTGTATTCTCTAGTTCTGATTTTTTTTTCCCATAATATATAAAAAAGAATAATTCTTTCTTTATTGATTTCTTTTTTCTTTGTTGCATCTTATGAATATCTTTAGAAAATAGATAAAGAAATTGATTTACACCATGTAACTGACACACCATAATTGAAATACAATTTTTGCAAGCTAATTATATCTTGAATTTAAACAGTTATAAAGTTATTAAAAATCATCTAGATTATTTTTAATTCTATTTCTGTTGCTAATTTACTCCCCTGCAGATCATGATGTACTGCCCACTTACCCTAAGGCAGAAGTTTCTCTACAATGGCCTCAAGAACAAAATCAGCATCGACGAACTCCTGCGTTCCTCTATGGGTCCCTCATCACAGCAAACATCAGTCACCTCGTCACTCATGAATCTTGTCATGCAGTTCAGGAAGGTGAATTAGGAATGGATTAGGAATTGCTAATCTTTATTTTTGATGATGTTATTATTGTTAGTATTCAGATTTTTTCTGCATAATTCATAGTTTGAATAGTAATTCATACCTTTTTCTGTCTTTTTTTTTAGACATTAATGAGAAGCAATAGAACAAAACAACAGTATCATAATTTTTTGCACATAGCTCATCATTGCCAATAACAACTATTTCACTCTAATCTCAGTACCTGCCACACACACACCTCCCTAAAGCCAACATTCACCACACCTCAGCTGTCTTTGTAACAGCAAATACCATGCACAGGACAACATTGTCAATAGCTGTGAACATCAGATACCACCTAGCAAATATTATGATAAGCTGTTAGAAGCAACATGATAAAATTGATTACTAATCCCAAAACTCCCTCCCCCATAGGTGTGCAACCACCCTGAACTCCTAGAGAGACGAGAAGTGCGCTCCCCCTACACAATGCAGCCTGAGCCTTACAACATGCCCAAGTTGGTGTTCAGGGATGTGTACCTCATCCGAGACAACCCCAGTCAACACCACTTGCTCTATAACAAGCTGTCAGTGTTTAGTCCACAGTACATACATTCTAGTTTGAAGGAAGAAGGTTAGTAATGTTATGATCCACATTGTTTTTGTTACTGTAATTTTTGTGCATTACCTGTGTTTTTGTATGAGGTAATTTGTTAGTTTTTTATACAAGGGAGATTTTTAGATTAATGAAATTGTTGGTGAGACCATGTCTTGAAATATTCTAATAAAATGGATTGTCTGCATAGTAGAAATATTTATTTTTTATTGTGAGACCTGTACTCATTACTTTTTTTCCTTTCTTTCTTTCTTCCTATAATGTAATGTCCTTTACCTATATATCTACACAACAAATATACAATACATATGTTTTCCTTATTTATGGAACTGTTTATTTTTATTTTACTCTTAACAGGGAAATCAAACCGGTGTTTTTCATTCCTCCGGTTCATTGATCTGAGTCCCTGTGAAGTCCAAACCTTCAAGAAAGATCACCTGCTAACTCAGTAAGTGCATTTGTGAATATATTAGGGTTCTTCCAGACTTTGCAACCTTTATTACAATATTATTTCAGCTCTTAGATGTATATAATTTGGAGATTTGACAATTAAACAAAATAGATATATACAGTTTTTTATTTAAAAAAGTAAAATAGAAATGACAAGCACCTCTTGATATTTCAACACCATAGTTTAAATTTAGCTCAGGTAACAAATAATTCAATTAGAAATGTTTCCTTCCCTTCAACAGGCGATGGCTCCTCCTGCTGGCAGCAATGCAGTACGAGAAGATTCGGCAGCACCGCAGCACCTGGCAGGAGAAAGACAAGCGATCAAGTCCAAGCCTCATGCCTGTGCGGAGGGACCACCTCATAGTAGATGGTAATTTGTGCCCGGCAAGAATAGCATCAAGTAGAGTGCTCTCCAACCTCATCTTTACCTCGAACACATCCTCAGTTTATACCTTCACAGATCATGTGATTCACCACATGCCAGAGACGATGAGTCATAGAATTATGAGGTATGTATCTATTTGATAGCCTGTGTGTCCATTTAGGCCTATTATTAACATTTCTTTTTTTTGTTTATTTCTGTGATTATATATCTATCCCTCTATCTGTATATTCCCTTATCAGACTCTAGGTATGCACTTTTCATAGAGCACCTTCATCTCTCCTGTTCCTTTTCCCTCTCCCCCAGATCGAAGAAAGTGAAACCCCCGCTTATAGAGGTCTTGTCAGAAGCCACGGAGGGAGCGGGGACAACAGGGGAGGAGGCCAAGGCGACCGACACCCCAGAGCAAATAACCCCGAAGGACGAATCCGCCAACCCCTCGCAGGCCACTACTGGGGAGAAGTTGTCCTCCCCGCCCAAGCCAGCCCACCTGGCTAAGCTTGGGAGTCCTCAGAAGGTGGGCGGTGGCTCGTCATCCAAGTCCTCCCACAGGAGATCGGGAGCCGGTTCCAAACATGGCTCCAAGAAGCACGGGAGCAAGGTGGGTTTTTGTGTGTGTGTATGTGTGATTGCAAGTGGTTATTAAGTTGACTGCTGATGTAGTGATTTTAATTGGTATTTTGTTATTGCAATGCCATGTCTATGCATCTGTCAGGCTACCCCCCCCTTCTCTCTCTCTCTCTCTCTCTCTCTCTCTCTCTCTCTCTCTCTCTCTCTCTCTCTCTCTCTCTCTCTCTCTCTCTCTCTCTCTCTCTCTCTCTCTCTCTTTCACTCTCTCACTCTCTCACTCTCTCACTCTCTCACTCTCTCACTCTCTCACTCTCTCACTCTCTCACTCTCACTCTCACTCTCACTCTCACTCTCACTCTCTCTCTCTCTCTCTCTCTCTCTCTCTCTCTCTCTCTCTCTCTCTCTCTCTCTCTCTCTCTCTCTCTCTCTCTCTCTCTCTCTCTCTCTCTCTCCCCCTCTCCCTCTCCCTTTCTTCCTCCTTCATTCTCTCCTCTTCCTCATTTTCTCTCTTCTTTTCTCATTCTCTCTTGTTTTTCATCTTTCTGTCTTTCTTTTGTTTGAAGTTCTTCTGAAACCTTAAAAAATAGGAAAAAGGAATGAAAATAGAACAGAAACATTGTATACAATTCAAGATAGAGAAGATACAAATGGGTAGGTCGCAATCAATGACTGAAAAGAAAGAGGGAAGGGAAGTGAAGGAAGAAGAGGAAGACAGAGAGTGGGAAAGATAGAAAAGGCTAAAATGAGAAGGAATGGAAAGGAAAAAAATGGGGGGAAAGAGAATGTAAAGAAGGGAAAGAAAAGATGTAAAAGAAAACAAAAAGAGAGGGAAGAGGCAAGAAAGTGGATAGGAAGGGATTGTGTGCGTCTTATTGTAGAAGGAAGGGAAGGGAGAGAATGAGGCCTGTGTGTGTGTGTGTGGCTGTGTTACATTGTGGTGCAACTTGCCATGATCAATTTGGCGGAACTATTGTTCTTGATGATGGGAAGGGGAAGAGAGGCACAACCACTTTTTTGATTAATTTATTTATTTCTTCTTCTTTTTCTTTTCTTCTTCTTTTCTTCTTTTTTTAAATTTATATTCTAATTTCATATTTTTATTCAATGTGTCATACTCTTTCACTTTTAATTTTGTGGATCAATAATGTTTCTTTTCTTCCTCTTCTTCTTCTTCTTCTTCTCATTATTATTATTCATGGTGATACATGTCATCCTCGCATTATTTTCTCCCTTTCTTTCCATTCAAATGATTTACTTTACATATTCGTTTTCCCTCTTCCTGTCTTCTTGTCCTCCCCCTTCATATTTTTCTTTTCTTTTTTCTCAAAATAAACAAGGTGACACTCCTCTTTCAGGTTTCTTCTTTCTCTCTCAATACATCCACTTTCTTATTTTCTCTCTTTCTCTTTCTTTTTCTCTGTTTGTTTATTTCTCTGATTTATCCTTCTTTCCTTTCTTCCTTCCCTCTCACCCTCTGCCCCTCTCCCTCCCTCCTTCCCTCCTTCCTCCCTCCCTCCCTCCTTCCTCCCTCCCTCCTTCCTCCCTCCCTCCCTCCTTCCTCCCTCCCTCCCTCCCTCCCTCCCTCCCTCCCTCCCTCCTTCCTCCCTCCCTCCCTCCTTCCTCCCTCCCTCCCTCCCTCCTTCCTCCCTCCCTCCCTCCCTCCCTTTCTCTCTCCCTCCCTCCCTCCTTCCTTCCCACCCTCCCTCACTCCCTCCCTCCCTCCCTCTCTCCCTCTCTCCCTCCCTCCCTCACCCTCTTCCTCTTCCTCTTTCCTCTTCCTCCTCCTCTTTCCTCTTCCTCCTCCTCTTTCCTCTTCCTCCTCCTCTTTCCTCCTCCTCCTCCTCCTCTTTCCTCCTCCTCCTCCTCCTCCTCCTCCTCCTCCTCCACTTCCTTCCTCCTCCTCCACTTCCTTCCTCCTCCTCCTCCTCCTCCTCCTCCTCCTCCTCCTCCTCCTCTTTCCTCCTCCTCTTTCCTCCTCCTCTTTCCTCCTCCTCTTCCTCCTCTTCCTCCTCCTCTTCCTCCTCCTCTTCCTCCTCCTCTTCCTCCTCCTCTTCCTCCTCCTCTTCCTCCTCCTCTTCCTCCTCCTCTTCCTCCTCCTCTTCCTCCTCCTCTTTCATTTCCACTTCCCGCAAACGCAAACCGTGTTCCATGCGTGTGTTTTGTTAATGAGCTGATTAAAGCCTTCGCAGTTAAGTCTTGTCAATATTTGTCCGTTTTATTAATTTCGTTTCATTTTCTTCGGTTTACTTTGGCTGAGTTATTTTAGTCTATCATGTTTATATTTTTTTTTTACTCTTCATTGGTATTGTTCTTTTGTTAATTCATCACTTTATTTTTGAATTGCCTTTTTTTTAACAGTTGTCTATGAATTGGCAAGGATAACTTCTAAACATCTCTTACGCTTTAATGTTATTAATTCTCAGAACTATTTTTTTGTTCTCTAATTGTTTGTGCCCACTGAATATTCCTCCTCTTTACTTTCTACCTTTCCATCTTCGTCTTTTTTCATCCTGATTTTGCCTTTTCTCCCGTTCTGTATTTTCGTCAGCCGCTTTGCATTCTCTATAACGCTTTTACCTATTACCAATTTTCTTTTCCCTTTTTCTCCTCTTTCTCTTTCTCTTTCTCTTCCCGTCCCTTTTCATTCTCCTATTCTTTTTCCTTCTCCGCTTCCTCCTTTTCTTCCTCTTTCTCCTCCTCTTCCTCTTCCTCTTTCTCCTCCTCCTCCTCTTCTTCCTCTCTCTCCTCTTCTTCCTCTCTCTCCTCTTCTTCCTCTCTCTCCTCTTCTTCCTCTCTCTCCTCTTTCTCCTCTTCTTCCTCTCTCTCCTCCCCTTCCTCTCTCTCCTCCTCCTCCTCCTCCGGCTTCTCCTCCCCTTCCTCCTCCGGCTCCTCCTCCCCTTCCTCCTCCGGCTCCTCCTCCTCCTCCTCCTCCTCCTACTACTACTACTACTACTACTACTACTACTACTACTACTACTACTACTACTACTACTACTACTACTACTACTACTATAACAACTTCCGCTCCGTCTCTGTCTCCTTCCATCCTCTCGCTTCCTCTTCCTCTTCCTTTTCCGCTGACGTACATCGCATCACACGATAAAAGAAGGTTAATTACGTATTCTCAGCGTGCAAACGAGAGCAAACACACACATATGCAAGCTAATACGCGTATGCACTTACGCTGAATTACGCGCGGACTGGCGCGAGTAAACAGACGCCCAGAGCGCCCACGCACGTACGAACACACGTTCAGTCGCACACCGGCACGCACTCCCTCGCTGACGCACATGTAGACCTAAACACACACACACACATACACACACACACACACACACACACACACACACACACACACACACACACACACACACACACACACACACACACACACACACACACACACAAACTCAAGCGCTCCCATACGCACACACGGACGCACATGTCCCCCCACTACGCCCCCGGCTGGCTGGCAATCCTTTACTTATGCAGGGGCGGCTCGCTTGAATAACGCATGTTGGAGCCAGCGCACGCGGGGGCATCTCGGCGCCTTTGGTTTCTCTCATCTTTTCTTTCTCTCTTTGTTTCTACGCGTTTTATTTTTTCTTCTTTTTTTAATGTGTGTGTGTGTGTGTGTGTGTGTGGGTGTGGATGTGTTTTCTTTTCTTTTTTTGGTACTTGCGGTTTTTATTTTCTACTCTTGTTCTTTCTTTTTTTCTATTTTTGTTATTTCCATTTTATTGTTTGCTTTTTCCCCTCTGTTTTTCCTTATTGTTTTCTCTCCTTTCTTTTTTTACGTTTCTTATACACTAATTTTCATTGCACGTTTTTCACTTTAAGTTCTCGCTTCTCGATGGACTGGTTGGCTGTACTCAACGGGCGCGCGGGGTGGCGAGGCGTGTACGTGGGAGTGGGGGTGGGGGTGGGGAGGGGGTTGCGGTGGTGGTAAGGGGTGGGGATGGGGGTATATAGGTAGGCATGGTTGCATTTGAGGATGCATTGGGAGAGAGAAGGGAGGGAGAGAGAAGGGAGAGATGAGGAGGGTGGGGGAGAAGAGGAAGGGAGGGCGATGAAAGGGGAGGGAAAGAGGATAAGAAGGGAGGAATAAGGGATGAAGAGAGAAGGGGAGAGGAACGTAATGTGGAAGAGAAGTGAGGAGAAGGGAAAAAGATGGAATAAGAAAATGAAGAAAGAGAGGGAAGGAATGAAGAAAGGGAGGTACCAGAAATAAGTAGATGAAGGGAGAGATAGAGGGGATGAGGAAATGAAAGGTTGAGAGATGAAACAGAAAGGGAGGGAGGGAGAGTAAGGAAAAGGAAAATTAAATGAGGATAAGATGGAAAATAGAGGGGACGGGGAGAAGAAGGGAGATGGAAGAATGAGGAAAGGAAGGTGGAGGAAGGAAATAAGGAGAGGAAAGGAGATACTAAGGAGATGAAGGGAGAAAGAGGAAATGAGGAAGGAGAGAGGAGAATGGTGAGAGGAAAACATGGAGAGGAGGTGTGGAGAAGGAGGGAGGGAGATGCAGAATGAGATAGGGAAGGGTAAGGAGATTTAGAGGAAATGAGAAGGAGAGAGAAAATGAGGAGAGGGGGGAGAGAGATAAAGTGAGAAGAGGAAGGGAAAGAGGAGGAATGAGGAGGGAAAAGGAGACAGAGAGGGAATGAGGAAAGAAAATGAGATAGATGGAGTGAGGGAGGAAAATGAGAGAGATAGAATGAGGCGAGAAAGGGAGGGAGAGGGAATGAGGAGAGAAAATGAGATAGAGGGGAGGACAGAGACAGAGACAGAGACAGACACTGGAATTCAACAAACAAACAAACCGAACCGAAGTATCACAAACAGACGCACACCTGTCAAAATCTCCCTTCCCCCTCCTCCCCTCCACTCCCCTCCCCTCCCCTCCCTCCCCTCCCCTCCCCTCCCTCTCCTCCCCCTCCCTCCCTTGATCCCATCCCCTCCCCCTCCCCTCCATCGTCAAATTCACCCCTATCCCAAACCCACCATTATTATCTGACGTTAATGAAGAATGGCGACAGGTTAACGATTACGGGGCTTTTGAGGTGGGCGCGATTTTGGCGCCGTGAATGATTAATTGATCGACGAAAGGTGTGTGTGTGTGTGAGAGAGAGAGAGAGAGAGAGAGAGAGAGAGAGAGAGAGAGAGAGAGAGAGAGAGAGAGAGAGGGAGGGAGGGAGAGAGAATAAGAGAGAAAAAAAACTATATTCAACCCCATATTCCTTCTTGTTCCTAGCCCTTTATATTAGTGCATCTCGCCCTACTTCACCAACGCCCCCCCCCCTCCCCCATCCAGAAGGACCACGGAGGCCTAGGCGGTCTCGGCGGGCTGGGCGACGGCGCGGAAGGCCTGGGCGAGGAGCTGAACCTTCTGCCGGAGGTGCCTCACGTGGAGCGGCCGAAGGAGGTGCGCGCCTGCCTGCCCACGCTGCTTCCGCCCTTCCTCATGCACACGTGCGCCAAGGTGGGTGTCGCGTTTATTTGTTGTGTGATAAGTGGCGTATTTGTTTTATTTAGTATTTATTTGTTTATTATAATTATAGGGGGGTGGGTCTTGTTTTGGTTAATGGTATGGGTTTATGTGCCATTATGTTATGCAGTGATGTGTAGCTCTAGTAAGGTAATATTTAAAGGATATATAACGAAAGCGCTTTTAGTTGCATTGAAATGTAAATAGATACTGAAAATAGTTCATGAAAATACGTAATGAATTGTTTTTACTAATACAAACTTTTATTTTCCCTGTCTCCCCTCTTTACTCCCACTCCCTTTTTCCCTCGTCCACTCCACTGCTTTCCTCTTTCATCTCCTCTACCTTCCCTTCCCCTCCCTTCCACTTTTCACCTCCCCCTACCTCCTTTCCCCCCTTCTCATTCCAATTTTTCCCCATTTCTTTCTCCCTTTTTCCCCATCTCCCCTTCCCTCCTTTCTCCCTTTCCTCCCTTCCCCCTTTCTTCTAACTCCCTTCCCCTCCCTCTTTCCCTTCCTTCCCGCATTTCCCATACCCTTTCTTCAATCTCCCTTCCCTTTTTCCCCTTCCTTCCCCGTCTCCCCCTTCCCTCCTATCCCTTCCCGTATCCGCTCCATTCCCCTTTCCTCTTTTCTTTCTTTTTCCCTTCCTAATCTTGCCTTCTTCTCTCTCCGCCATCTCTTTCCCTCTTCCCTCCTTCCCCCCTCTCTCCCTCTTCCCTTCCTCCTTTCCTTTTCTCTTCTCTATTTCCCTCTTCCCTGTTCTCTTTCCCTCCTCTCTTTCCTTGTTCTCTTTCCTCATCTGTTTCCCTCTCTCCTGCTTCCCCTCCTTCCTCTCCTTCCCTCCATCCCTTCATCCCCCCTCTCTTCCCCCCCCTCTTTTTCCCTCCTCCTCCCCCTAGGCCCAATGCGCGGAGAAGGAGATCGTGTGTCACGACCGGAGCGCCGCGTGGTGTCGTGTGCGGGCGGCGCGGACGGACTGCGAGGAGGGTGTGCAGTGCCTTCTCTATGGCTCGCCGAAGGTAAGGGCGGGGACGAGGGTGGGTGCTGCCGGAGGGGGTTGGCTGGAGTTTTTGTTTATTTAGTTGTTTTTTTATTGTGTGGAGATGGGTGTGTTTTATTTGTTTAAAAATTTTTTTTTAGTTATTTATTCGTGTTCTTTTGTTCTTTTTTTCAGTTTATTTATTAATAGGAAGGTGATCTTTGTTTTTATAGTTTTCGCTATTTGTTTCTTTCTTTTTTTTCGTTTTCTACTTTTACCTTCATATTTTTTTCTTTGGAAGTTTATATTTTTCCTCTTCTTTCCTTCCTTTCGCCACCCATTTCTTCGTACTGGTTACTTTCTTTTTCATTTTTCCATTGTATGTTAATCGATTTTCATTCCCTTCTCTCCTTCTCTCTTTCTTTCCTCGTGTTTTCCTTTTATCTTCTCTTATTTATTTTTTATATCTTCTTGTCCTCCACTTACATTCTCTTTCTTTTTATTATTTTTTCCTCGTTATTAATTACTTTTTATTGTCTCATTATTTTGCTTTTCTTATTTATAGGCTATACTCTGTTCTCTTCATATTTATTTTATACGGTTATTCTGTTTTTTTTTATCTGCTTATCTCTCTATGTATTTGTCTATGTCTAACGTTTTTTGAGTGAAACTTTTTATCTAATTATTGATTAATTCCCTCTATTTGTTCATTTTTATACAGAATTAATGTAGCCAATTCATGTATTTCTTCAGTTGATTTGCATATTCTTTTGAATTTATACATTTGTATTCCTTGTCGTTCAACTTACCATTAGTGTAGTAATTTGTATATATTTTTTAATTCACGATTCATTTTTTTAATATATACATCCAGCTATTTAGATATTACCCACAGCTGAATATTGTTTTATCTCTACTCCGTTTTACAGCCTTCATGATATGAGGGCAGGTTCACCCATTCCTTTACTTCATCCGTCGCTCGCTCCAACCATCTCTCATCCATCTGTTTCTCCGGTCTTTTATCCCATAATCGGACTGCCCATGTTTCATCCATGTATCGTTTTATTTTTCACCTGTCCTTCCCTATTTCGAACTTTTTCCCATTCTTATTCCAGCTATACGTCCTTTATTCATCTACTCATCCCTTTATTCATCTATCCTCTCCTTTATTTATCTGTTCACCCCTTTATCCAACTGTCATTGTCGTTATTCATCCGTCACCCCCTTTATCTACTCGTCTCTCCCTTTTTTCGTCCTCTCATCCACTCATCCCTTTACCCCAGTGCCATTCCCTTTATTCTTCCGCCACCCATTTTATCCAGCCGTCCCTCCCTTTATTCACCCACTTATCCTTTATCCCATTATTCATCCGTCTGACCCACGTTCGTCTCCTGCAGCTGGCGGTGGAGTGGCAGGAGCGCCGGAGTCGCCTCACGCAGGTGGAGATGGGCGGGCTGAGGGCGAGCTACCCGAGGCTGGGCTGGAGCCACGTCCTCATTCCAGGTGAGGAAGATACAATAGATGGAGGGAGGGAGAGAGGGGGGTGAGATGAGGGGAGGGAAAGGGGGAGAGAGGGAGGGAGGAGGGAGGGAGGGAGGGAGGGAGGGAGGAAGGAAGGGTGGGTGCAGGCACAGAGCAGTCTTTCCAGGTGAGAAAAAAAAACAAAGTTAGCGATAATAGAATGGCTGTCCGGTTGCAGGCAAAGTTGAAAATGTTGCCGGTAAAAAAAATGGCATGAGAAAAAGTCTAAACGCGTGCTTTCGGCGAGGGCGAAAGCACGCGTTTAGAATATGTAATTGGACCTCGCGGAGAAGGGAACTAAACTCTTCCTACACAGAGTATCTCCTTTTGAGATTTCCCTTCGCTGGCCTGAATTCCTCTTCCCCTTACCCCTACATTTTCCAGCCTCCTTCCCTCCCTCTCACCCACCTTCCCCCTCACTCCTTCACTTTCCACCCTCCTTCCCTCTCTTCCATCCTCACCCCCCCCTTACCCCTACACCTTCCTTCCCCACTCCTTTCCCACTCCTTCCCCACTCCCACCCCACTCCCTCCCTACTCCC